CATTGATGATTCTGCTGCTGTGGTGTTAAGTGCGGGTATGGGTGTGTTAAATAATCTCGCCACGACAACACCCTTGCCCACCACCTCTGTTGCCCACCGTCTTTCTTGCTGTCTATCATGTGGCCGGATATTCATTTTTCTGAATTTACGTGAGAGACTTCTCCCGTCTCTCCAAAACAGCTTCCACTGCAGCACCAACATCATGCCAACAGCAACAACACAGTTGATCTGTACCACCCAGGCAAGCCATGTAAACTACCAAGAATAAACACACAGCAAGAGAAGTGTATTCAGGGACGAGGTTTGAGTGTCTCAAGAGTCAGTGTTGTAAACTGACTGTGTGCTAGTCCACCTCCTGTCTTAATCTGGCTGTCTCATTGTGTGTGTGTGTGTGTGTGTGTGTGTGTGTGTGTGTGTACACATACAAATCTACATATATGCATACATGTAGGATATACATGTATACAGTCTTAGTTCCTAGTCTCATTCAAGGAGAAAAATTAGCGGAAACTCTCATATTTTATGTTCCTCCTGGTTCACCAGTTCTTGATCCACCGGGAGGCCTGATCTGGGACCAGGCGGGGGGGGGGGGGGGGGCGCTGACCTCCGCGGCAGCATCCTCCAGGTACTAACACCCGAATGGGAGATGAGACGACACTGCTGATGCTGTTCGTCACATCTCGTTGTTAGCGTTACCGGATACGTTACTAGCGGCATTTGCATCACTCTCCTGATGATGGCGAGTGACGTGTGAGCGAAACGTTGCTTGTGCAGCAATTAACTTTCTCACCTGCTAACAAGGATAGCAGTAGCTGCTATCATTGCTAGTTTTCTAACGCGCTTTCAAGCGTCATTTTCTAAACGATCTAACTGACCATGAAATTATAATCCTTAAAATATGAGATCCTTAACCCGAATTATCCTTAACCAACATTATCCTTAACCGAAATTATTCTTAAAGGAAATTATCCTTAACCAAAATTATGGTTTATTAAAGTATCCTCTATTAAAATATATAGTATTGTAACCGGGAGTCAGTAACGTCTGGCAACGGAGGACACATCCAAGTCTCATAATACGTTAAAAATAATACGTTGGTGTCCCGTAGCTGCGTCGGTAGCGCACTCACCTCACAGTGTGGTTCGATCCCAGGTACGGGTGGAAAATATTAAGGCGTGTTTCCTGAACACACCTGCTGTCCATGTTCACCTAGCGGTAAATAGGTTCCTAGATGTTAGTCGACTGGTGTGGGTCGCATCCTGGGGACAATATTAACCTAAGTTGTGGGAAATGCTCTGCATAACAAAGGGGTTTCTCTATAGTAGAATGTCACTGATGTCAGCTATTGTCTGTATAAGTTGTATCGTCTACTTGTACAAATGAACATGATTATTGTTATTATTATTATTATTTTATTATTATTATTATTATTATTATGGGTGTTGGAACTTACGTGTATTTACCGAGTGATGTTTTCAGGGGTCGAGATTCGGCTCTTGTTTGATGTAGGTGTTAAGGCCTGGGGCCCTAGACTGTCTCACTGTGTGAGGTAGGGTTGTAAAGGTACACAGGCTTATCCTAGGCCATGGCAGCTACGTGACTTGTCAATAGTTCACCTCAACATTGTTGTAGGTAGGCCTACTGTGTTCACTTTTTATTTCTACTGGTTCACACCCGAAGAAGTAGAAGAAAAGGGAAAAAAAGAAGAAGGAAAGGGAGAAGGAGGAGAATATAAAGATTTTATTCAGATCATTAACCTGGAAGGTTTTATTATCCCAGGATAACCACAGGAAGACCAGCAGTGTGGCCTATTTACATAGGTGTTGTCAGGATACCAAACATAGCACAGGACTGACACATGGGTATTTCTTTGTTGTTAGGTGAACACTCCCATACGTCTTACCCAGCCCAGGATGAAAACCCTGAAGTTATGGAGGTGGGATGTACAGTTCTTGTACTCTGAAGGATGGGTGGGGATATTACAGTTCTGGAGGTACAGTGTATTGGTATTATTTTAGTATCAGAATGAATACAATAAAAAGATTACTGTTAGTCTTGGGTACTCATCTTTCCGTTCACATTCAAGACCCCAGCAGCCGCAACCAGGGGTCTCATTTGATGTCGGTTGTCTTAGTTCCCAGTGGACTGTAACAGTGATTATGACCAGGGTTAACACTCGCCCTGACAACCTATATTCTCCAATATTCCAGGTATGTCACCTGGAAGGTTATGGGCGAGTCTTATTTGGGTTTGGGCAGTCGCCCTTGTGTCATGAAGTTGTACGGTTAGCCTTGTCAACCCCACATCAATACCTATTCACTGCTGCAAACTGCGGTAATATATGAGTTTTGATAGGGTATAACTGGGTTTGTGTCGTACCCATATAGCATACCATGTCATGAAACCGGTATCGATGGCTTGATTGAAAATATGTTGGACATCTTCACTTCTTTCATCACTTGGGCCATGTTTCACGTCACCTGACTTGACCATCACTTGCCCACAAGTTCACTTTGTGAACAGTATCGTTGCTTCAGTAAGCGACATAAAGAATAAAATGTTTCTGTTGTGGTGCTTGCCCACTCACTAATATGCCCTTAATTATTCACAGCAGAAATAGTTTCTGGTCCTCGTTTCACGTAGGAGAGTTATATATTATCTCTTCCACAGTTCTTCTTAGAGATTGTCGAGTACGACTCAAGTGCCACCAGCACCTCTGTTTACAGTCGGTTTTCTGCTGACATAATGTCTACGGGCATAGGTGTCATTTCTGACAACTTAATTGAATCAGAGAGTGTGGATTCCTTGACTCAAAGGTGCAGGTTCTTGGGTATACTGCCACTAGGTATGTTATCAGGTTAGACACATTATTTGGAATTTTTAACGGTCTTAGGAAATAGAAATTTCCTCAGACACATATATTGGAGAGTGTCTTGCAAGAGAGGAAGAAGTGTTGGTCACATCCAGTCTAATATGTGCATCTTGTGACGTTCTATCTAATTCTGCTTAGTAATTTTTGCTTTGATGTACAGATTCGACATCTTCAAAACACCCTTGTTCCATAACTGGTCTCCAGATGTCATGATGAGAGGGATTGCAGCCCCCTTGTGAGAGGGATGGCCGCCCCCTGTTGGAGAAAATTTCTCCACACTACCTGCACTCTGAGGTGTAAACTCAACTATAATCTTAGCACATTTATGGCTAGACAGTAGTTGAGTGAATAATGGTGAATGTGGTTTCTTTGAATCATCCTGCCTATGCAAATAAACCACCTGGTGCAGAAATACTTTTATATTGGTCTAGGTTTTATTATGGTGAGGTGACCGCTGCTGCAGACATCCACTGGCTGTTATTCCCTATTGTTCTTTCTCGCTGTTTTCTTCTCTCGTTCGTATGATCATTATAATTTTCACTTTTCCCTCCTACTTTTCCTCAAGGATTTCCACTTGCATTTCGCAAGGAGTCTGGAGTGGTGTCGTATTGCTGTATGAGGGGGAGTAGGGGTGATGGAGGGGGAGACGAGTGGTGATAGAGTGGGGGGATGAGTACATTATGGGCATAAGTAAATAAGTTTATTTAGATACAGGTACACATAAGTACAATTATCATGCATAGTGTAAATTACCTAGGATGAAGGAACACTGCAGTGGTCCTACTGGCCCATGTTAGGTAGGTTCAACTCACACCCACCTTTGTACCTGTTCATTATTTAAAGACGTCCAAGGAGGTGGTGGGGACTCGTGGAGGTGGTGGTTGCAAAGAGGGGAGGGTGGTTGAGTGGTTGTTGGAGTGGGGGGGGGGGGTTGAACTTGTGGTCTTCAGCCCTCACCACGCACACCAGTAACCCAACACCTCCTAAACCTCCTCCTCCTCCTCTTCTCTTCTTCAATCTTCTCATCTTCCTTATCTTACATTTTCTCCTCTCTGCTTTACCTTTTGTTCCCTCCTCGCACACTCTTCATTAAGGCAGACAGAGCAGAGACTCTCAGCTCCTAGCGTCTGGGTGAGTGAGGAAGCTGAGAATCATTCACGGGACAAAATGCGTGGGAAGGTAGTGCTTGAGGTGGTCCCAGTGTTCACTGCTCTCTCTCTGATACTGTGATGCTGTCACTGTTCACTGCTCTAATAGTGTGATGATTCTCACCATCATCACATACGTCATGCTGTCACTGTTCACTCCACTGATAGTGTGATGATTCTCACTATCACATATGTGATGCTGTCACTGTTCACTGCTCTGATAGTATGATAATTCTCATCATCACATATGTGATGCTGTCACTGTTCACTGCTCTGATAGTGTGATGATTCTCATCATCATCACTTATGTGATGCTGTCACTGTTCACTGCTCTGATAGTGTGATGATTCTCATCATCACATGTGATGCTGTCACTGTTCACTGCTCTAATAGTGTGATGATTCTCACCATCATTACATACGTCATGCTGTCACTGTTCACTCCACTGATAGTGTGATGATTCTCACCATCACATATGTGATGCTGTCACTGTTCACTGCTCTGATAGTGTGATAATTCTCATCATCACATATGTGATGCTGTCACTGTTCACTGCTCTGATAGTGTGATAATTCTCATCATCACATATGTGATGCTGTCACTGTTCACTGCTCTGATAGTGTGATAATCCTCATCATCATCACATGTGATGCTGTCACTGTTAACTGCTCTGATAGTGTGATAATTCTCATCATCACTTATGTGATGCTGTCACTGTTCACTGCTCTGATAATGTGATAATTCTCATCATCACATGTGATGCTGTCACTGTTCACTGCTCTGATAGTGTGATGATTCTCATCATCACATGTGATGCTGTCACTGTTCACTGCTCTGATAGTGTGATAATTCTCATCATCATCACATGTGATGCTGTCACTGTTCACTGCTCTGATAGTGTGATAATTCTCATCATCATCACATGTGATGCTGTCACTGTTCACTGCTCTGAGTGTGATAATTCTCATCATCACATGTGATGCTGTCACTGTTCACTGCTCTGATAGTGTGATAATTCTCATCATCACATGTGATGCTGTCACTGTTCACTGCTCTGATAGTGTGATGATTCTCATCATCACATGTGATGCTGTCACTGTTCATTGCTCTGATAGTGTGATAATTCTCATCATCACATGTGATGCTGTCACTGTTCACTGCTCTGATAGTGTGATAATTCTCATCATCATCACATGTGATGCTGTCACTGTTCACTGCTCTGATAGTGTGATAATTCTCATCATCACATGTGATGCTGTCACTGTTCACTGCTCTGATAGTGTGATAATTCTCATCATCACATGTGATGCTGTCACTGTTCACTGCTCTGATAGTGTGATAATTCTCATCATCACATGTGATGCTGTCACTGTTCACTGCTCTGATAGTGTGATAATTCTCATCATCATCACATGTGATGCTGTCACTGTTCACTGCTCTGATAGTGTGATAATTCTCATCATCACATGTGATGCTGTCACTGTTCACTGCTCTGATAGTGTGATAATTCTCATCATCACATGTGATGCTGTCACTGTTCACTGCTCTGATAGTGTGATGATTCT